ACACACACACACACACACACACACACACACACACACACACACACACACACAGCAATACATATCAGTCCTTTTCCTTTGCTACCTGGTATGCCCTCTAGGGTTCTTCTCTAGATCACAGAGGTAAGACTCAGGAACTTCTTTCATCATCTGGCACCACAGCAGTGCAGTGCCCTCGTTTATTGAGCTATTCTTCACTACAGATGGAAAGTCAGCTGTCCCCAGGCTTCTGTTGCTATAGACGGCGATGCAGTGAATCAGCACACACACTGGGCGTGAATCGGAGAGGCTAGAAGAATGGCCAAAGGGTGAGATGCTGGCAACCTTGTCAGATTTCCCACAGTGGCTTCCTTCTGCACACCCATCATTTAGGTGGGACAGTACCCCTAAAGCTTCCCTGAGGGGGATCTAAGAGGGACCAGAAAGTCTCAGACATTGAAAACTCACCTGATAGAGGACTCCAGTGTCTCGCTGTGCTTCCTTTGCCCTGCCTGAGGTAGTCTTTTGGGGTGCAGTAGAGAAATGTGAATGGAGCCCATGGCTATCCATCTGAGCATGTGGCTTGTACCCCCCCACACCTCTAAGAGGCAGCGTACACTGATAGAAACCTAAAGGTTTGTGTCTGCCTTTGTGGGGTACAAGTGGGTGTCCCTGGAACTCTTAGGCAGGAGCTGGACCAGACTCTTCACACAAGATTGTGTGTCTCCTGTAGCTGAACTGTGGAGGCATTGAGTAGATCTTTCAAGGACCTGGCGCCTGCTGTCGCTGTGACTTTTGTACCTGTATATCTCTGGAAGCTGTTGTAGAGATCAAATGGCTGGAGCAAGAATCCTGCGGAGTTCCCTGGTGTAGCCATGCTGGGGCCATTCTCAGAATGGTGATTGTGTGAGAGGCCGACTGTCACCCAGGCCACCAAGTCCTATGGTGGAAATATAAGTTTCAGTGGGCAGGACAGTGCTGACTACTGGCTACCAGAGGACCCTGGGGATTGGGGTGCTTTTCTGTATACATCTATAAATAACCCAAGATACCTTTAGCTCCATTTAAAAGAGGTGGACCCATCTGTCCTGGCCTCTGAACTTGCCCTACACCACCAGTCACATTCCTGGGGCCAGCAAAATCCCGTCACTGACTAGTGACAAGACCAGAGGTGGGCAGAGGAGACTGGATCAGTACCTCATCTTCAATGTTTTCGTTGTTGTGAATGAAGTTCTCAAAGACCATAGGATAAGCCCAGTGGTGATTCTGGTTGTAAAGAGTACTGTGGAACCGCTCAGACTCCTGGTACTTAGTCACTGCCAGCTGGTACCTGCAAGCAGAAACGCATATGAGTAGCTTCAGAAATGGGGGCTGCCTTTGATCCCCTCTATAGAGAAACCATCATAGCCAAGGATAGAGAAATTGCTGCTGCCCCAGAATGGGTGATAGTCTCTCATGAACCCAAAAGACACCTCAGTCTGTCAGCCAGGATTCCCATGAGCTCCACACTCCCTCCATCAGTGCATTAGGAGGCAGACTCAGACGCCAGCAAAAACATGGCCTCTTGGACACAAAGCAGTTATACACAAGCTCACCGAGGGAGCTCCTGGCCTTCCTCAACAGTTGGCCTGAGTCTCCTCACCTGGGCCACGTGAAAGCTGGGGAATACTGCCAGCCTGGAGGCAACATTTGCTCAGCCACTGAGGGGATATGCAGGCGGTAGCTGCGGCTGTGACCCGACACACTTTTTCCAGTGTTGCTAAAAAGCAGGTACTTGGGCAGAGTCTGCCTGAAGTGGAAGGCAGCCTGGCGCTCCCAGGAGTACTGGGTCTTGTCAAGGATGGGCTTGACCTGCCGGCTTCTGTGACTCCAGGGGTTGATGGTGTTTTCCAGTCTCATTTTCAATGTCTGGAAGCTATTCTTGGTACCTGTATCATGAGGAGAGGAGGGCAAGAATCAAGGGCTGGGACAGAAACTTCCTCCCATTTTGTTAGATCTCCATGCTAGGCCATACCCACAGTCAGCCCGTAGGAAGAAGCTGGGGCCAGGCACTTGGCTAGCACTATGGGAAGAAGGAGGCCCACAGATGAGGTAGATGGTTGTGTCAGAAGGGTGACCATAGACTGTTTTCTAGAGATCCAGTCAGCCTCCTGGGCTTTTAACCTTAGAGACATGGTACAGTTCTCAGGCCTGAGTACTATTGGTACACTCTGGGACAGAGGGCCAATCAGTCCTGCAAGGGTGGCAGCTACCCATCTGGTCCTGATAGCCATACTGAGGACATTGCTCTGTTATAGGATTTGATGCTGAGCATCACAGCCGTGCTATGGCTCTGTGATGACATCATTATCCAAGAAACACTGGACGCCCGGATGACACTGTGGTCATCTTGGTGCTGGAGGTAGCATTTCTTTCTATTTATCATCATCATCATCATCATCATCATCATCATCATCATCATCACTATTTTATTTATTCACTTTACATCCTGCTCACACTCTCACCCTCTCCCACAACCCTTCCCCCATACCCCTTTCTCCTCTGAGTGAGTGGGGACACCCCTGGGTATCCCCCCAACTCTGGCACATAAAGTCTCTGTGAGGCTAGGCCCATCCTCTCCCACTGAGGCCAGGCAAGACAACCCAACTAGAAGAACATATCTCACATACAGGCAACATCTTTTGGGATAGCCCCTGCCCCGGTTGTTTGGGACTCATATGAACACCAAACTACACACATCTAGTACATATGTGTGGGGAGGGGGGAGGGAGCATTCCAGACCCTTCACGGCACTTCTCCCTCCCAACCTTGTATTCCTTTCCACTCACGCTCAACAGAGAGAACACACATTCTACATTTAAGACAACCCTAGAGTATTATTTGTTGTCCCCATTTTTTTAGGGGTTCATGATGTTTCTAGAAGGCTGAATGGACACAGCTGATTTTATGCTGGAGAGCCTTAGCCTGTCTCTTATTATGAAGTATTTGGACAGTTTAGTGCCTGGGATGATCTCAAGACCTACCTGCCACATCCAGGTCAAGGCGATAGTGCGCTAGGTGGGAGTGGACATTTCCACGTAGGTGGGTGTGCAGGCGCCTGCGGTAGAGCAGCCCTTCTGAGGTGAAGAAAGTGGCATGAACATACCCGGTGGCATACATCTTGCCCTCCATCATGCCACTGGAGTGGAAGATGAAGTCCCAGATGTAATCATGGTTGTGGATGGTCGATGCTGTCCTCAGAACCAGCACAGGGCCACTCAGCCTGGCGTAGGAACTGAAGCTATTTCTAAAGTTGGAGCTGAAGTCCTGTCTAAGGGGAGCTCCCATGGGCAGTTCAAAGATACAGAGGGCTCGCTGAGAGAGAACAGGACCGTCACTGTCGTAGTAGTGGATGGCGTCCAGGAAGGTAGCTTGGTGGGGACAGTCAATGCCAGGAGTTAGCTGGTGAGTAATGCCTGCCAGCCCCCAGCCCACATCCATGTACTTGGTCTCCCTGCCTGCAGCCTTGTGTCCTTTGTACAGTGCCATCACCTCTTGCACACCGACCTCATAGGCGATGCGTTCACCTCTGAAGTGCACATTAAAGAGCTGAAGCCCATAGGAAGAGTGCAGCTTGAAGAAGAAGCTCCAGTCCCCATAGAGCACAGTGTTGTGATTTAGTCTGTAGTGGGGAACAGTGGGCTGAACCCCTTGAAATCCACCCTTGCTTATGGGCATGGGAAATTCAGGATATGGCTGGACCACTCGAGGGCCACCCTTGCTGATGGGCCTGGGGAATTCATCACGGAGCTGGGCCATTCGGTGGCCACCCTTGCTGATGGGTGTGGGGAATTCAGCACGGGACTGGGCCATTTGAGGGCCACCCTTGCTGATGGGCATGGGGAATTCATCACGGAGCTGGGCCATTAGGTGGCCACCCTTGCTGATGGGTGTGGGGAATTCATTACGGAGCTGGGCCATTTGAGGGCCACCCTTGCTGATGGGCATGGGGAATTCAGCATGGGACTGGGCCATTTGAGGGCCACCCTTGCTGATGGGCGCGAGGAATTCAGCATGGGGCTTGTAGGTGGAGAACTGTGGAGACTCCTCTGTAGTCTTGGGCAGTGGATCCTCAAGGACCACTGTGTCCACTTCTCCCTCTGCATATTTCCAAGCTAGTTCCTCTGGACTGTTGTAGAACTGGCCGTTATACCAGAGCTGTTCCACCCTCCAGTTCTGGACATCTGTGCTCCCATGATCAAGAAGGATCTCCAGACCTGTGGGCTGCAGGTCGTGGCCATTCAGAAAGCGTTGCAAAAGAAACCAGCTATGGCGCTTTCCAAATGTCATAGCACGAGGGCCAACATTGGTAAAGGTCAGGCAGCCTCCATTGCAGTCCTGCAGTGTGAAGCCAGTGGTATCAAAGAAAAACTCTTGTAAGGGCTTGGTGGCTGTCTTCAGGGTGTAGAAGAGGAGGGCAGACTCTACTTTGGACATGGGTCTGGATGCCCATGACAGCTCCTGGCCTCCCTTGCGGTTCAGTTTTCGCATGTACATGGGCTGTTCAATGGGACCCACAGCATACTCGGTGACATTGGGGTACTCTTGGGCACCAAAGTAAATCAGGACACGGGCTTCCCGCAAAGGAGGCATGGCTCCTTTGTCTAAGAAAGCCAGCACCTCGTACTTCTTGGGCATCAGCATCTCAATGAGGAACACGGAGTTCTTGGCCAAAGTCAGTACTGTGGATGGCTGCAGCTCCAGCTCCTTCCTGCTCATCAGGAAGTCGTGCACACGCTCCAGCTCCGTGGCACTCAAATCCCACAACACCCGGCGCTTGGTATTCAGTGACCACCTGGAGTGCTTTGCCACAGACATCTGTACCACCAAGACGGTAGTCATCCAGCCCAGAGCCAAGATTCTTCCTACCAGGTTCATGGCTCTGAAACACAGCAGAGGAGGGGAGAGCTCTCAGGTATTTCCGTCTCTAAGCAAGCACCTCAGAGCCCCTGGTTCTTATGCGAACTCCTTCCTTTATCCAGATGAAGTCAGAGCTGTCCTCAGTGGTGTCTAGGCCTCTCTGTGCATAGAGCTGTTTCCTTTCTTATTGTCAAATCTCTTATACCCTCTCTTATCTAGATATTGCCCATGTGTTTTTCTTTTTCTCAGTGTTATCTCTGTGAGGGAGTCTTTATCAGTCAGGAACACCGTGAGCCACAGCAGCAGAGCCTTGGTCCTCACTGGCTATGAAGCACTTCTGCTCTGGAAAGACAGGGGCCCGTGCTGACAGCAAAATTCCCTTTTGAAAGCAACGAATTTAGTGTGAATGTTCAAAATGCAGGCTCTGAGCTCAAGCTGCCTGGGATAAAGTCCTGGGAAGTCGCAGGCTAGAAACTACTGTGTGAGCTTGGTCAGCTTGTGAAATTCTCTGGGCACCCATTGTCTTCACCTATAAAGTGGAAATGGTAGCAGAAGCATGTACATCCCTAAGGCTCTGGAGGGAAAGAAGTCCACAGTGAGTGTACATGTGTGTGACAACCCTGGCCTTCTGGAATGCACAGCATGGCGTCTTCTCTCTTTAAAGTGAACCCTGATGGTCACTCTGATGCTGTTGTTCCTTGTACTTGTGGTTGAGGTGGGCTGGCCAGTCATGCTATATGCAGAGCACACGGAGCCTTTGTCTCTTGTGTACATGTTTTTACTGTTACCACCCCTGGCTCATCCAGATCCTAGCATGATCTGGATACTGCTGAGTGTCAGCAAAATGTCTTTCCTGCGTACCTACCTACACAGCAGCGGCCTCACACCTGTTCTTGATCCCCACTCTGTGATCCCACTCAATGGTCCCTCCGGGTCTCTAGCTGTACTCCTTCCTGTAGGTTTTGTGAGGTTCAAAGACCTGAATTATGGCTTGGACCTCAGGGTAGGTGGAATGATTCTGAGAGATCCTTGCTGTCACAGGTTAACTGCCTTGAGTTTTGCTAACTGGCAAGAATCTGGAGAAAACTCCACAGATTACCGCCTTGAGTTTTGCTAATTGGCAGGAATCTGGAGAAAACTCTTCTGTTGAAGCATAGAAGGGGGTCATAGGTCCACATTGCTATGTATTCTACACCAGTAATGGGGTGCAGGGCCAAGGACCAGGGCAAAATTCACCTAAAAATGGATTGCAGGATGGGAATTAGGCAAAGAGATGCATAGGTGCTCATGAAGGATGTGAGGGAGGAATTGGATCACAGGCCCTGGGCATCATGGATGCTGCATGTTTTCTGTTTGGAAATGTCTTGTGTTGTATGAGCCTCTAACAAGGGTCAGGAACAGCCTGAAAGTGCTGGTTTTCCTGGGCTTCTTCTTTCCAGAGAAACATTTCCACTTGATTTCTTCATATCAACTTTGTATCCTCTGTCTTTTTTCAAAGTTGGTTAACACTCTACCTCACCAAGGGACTTCCTGTCTTGGTCTTGGACCTGACTCTGTCCATGTCCCACTCACTGTCCCTTAGCACGTTGTTATTTAGTCTCCAGACAGCAAATTCTCCTGACTGTGACATTGAGAGATGTGTGCCGTACTTGCCCCATCCTCTGTGAGCTGTTGGGCTCACCCAGTGTGAACCAGCCCAGTGGCCCAGTGTGTGAGACTTAATGGAAATGGTCCACCGTGAGGACTTCCCTTTGTTGCTATGGTGCCTTGTGGATGAGACAAGAGGCTTCCGGATGAAACTCAGAACCAGGAAGGAGGTCATGAGCTTCACTATGGTTCTACTATCTATTTTTGGATAGGATTCTTTACTTAAAACTGTATTTCACTCTCCCCTCCTGTCTCACATAACCTCGGCTGGTTTTTCTATATTGTTCAGGATGAAACCCATGCCTAGTACTGTTAACCAGGTCAAATCCCCGTGGCTGTCTGAGTTATAGCCCCAGAAAAGAAATCTAGTACTACTGTTGACATAAATAGACATAGTTCCCCAGGTTTGTATTTTTATACCATAGACTAGTGTATCTCTCTTCTTTTTGCAGTAGATGGTGTTTAATACAGACTCACGCCTATCAACATGTAGAAATTAAGAGACCATGGGGCATCTACATTATACCTCTTTCTTACAAGGCTTGGGACCATTTTAGAAGAGGGAGAAGAAAGATTATAAGAGTTAAGGGGGAAGATATCTTCAGAGACATAGTATTTGCTGGACATAATGGGGCCATTGCACACATGAACACACACTAGCTGTTACTGATGGACAAGACTTTCATAAAATCAAACCAGCCCCAATCCTAGCATGGATGGGGAGGGCTTACAACATGCCACCACTCTCTGAGGAACTGTTGGCACTTGATTTCTGCTAGGGGAGAGTCAGTTTTCTTCAGGAATGTGGGCCCTGAGAGCTACCCATGCTCCAGTAGACAATCTCCCACTCCTGCACGTACAAGCAGAACGAAGTGGACTGGTTGGGTGTTAAGAAAGGAGCACATGAAGAGGGAAAATAGTGGCATGGGGGAGTAGGTTTGGTTTAACACATTATACTCATATAAACATATGTTTATTTTGAGTAAATATATCTTATCAATATATGTTATAAATATATAATATTTAATGAATAATAAAATATTTAAATTTTTGTCCCTCTTTAATGTCTGCTCATCCTTTTCCACTTTTTAGCTTGATCCTTTTACCTCCATAATAAGTGTATAAATTTGGTGACCAATGAGTTTTATTGCAGTTGTTCACAACAGCACAAGAGCGAGTATGCATACGTGATTATGGCCGACTTGCTGGAGGATATGCACTGAAGAAAATTTCTCCTCTCTTATCCTTAGGGAGGTTGGATCCCATTGAGCCCCTCTAAATCTTGTGGAGCCCTAGACTTCATCCTTTGGCCTGAGACAGGGCTCACTATATACCCCTGGCTCATTTGATCAAGCTAGCTGTGAACTCACAGAAATATGTCTGCCTTCGTCCCACAAGTGTTGGGATTAAAAAATGTGCATCAGCACAGCCAGCTCAGATTTCTTGTTTCTAAAAATTTGTTTAGTCTTTCACCATGTCACACCTCTACAACACCTAATTTCACCAATCCTTCACTGTCCTCTCCTATGGCGCCACCTCCAGCTAAATGGCTTTCTCTTTCCAATCAGTCCTCTCTTGCTTTCATGCTTTTATTCTCGCAGCTCACTGAGTTAATGGGGTTGCTTGCAACCAGCACATTTGATGGTTGTTTACCTGACATGGGCAACTGATGCTGATGGGTCCATAGACTTCATTTTTAGAAGAGTTCTAGCATTATAGCAGTTTGAAGAGGAGGGATAGGGATACTCTATCTTTGACTCTTGCCCTGAGTCTCCCCACTATCAGCATCCAACAGTATGGTCCATGAATGACAACTGTTGATCCTTAGAGACACTCCATTGACACACCAAACTCATAATGTATGCCAAGGTTCATCTTGAGATGCAGCCAAAGAATCCTGACAAATGTGTAATAACAGGCCCCGGCCATCACAGTACTGAGGAGTGATCGTGCCAATGACCTTAAGTACTCTTAACTGCCCCTGCTCCCCCTCCCTGCACTATACCTCTGCCAACCACTGATATGTTGCAGTCATCCTGGACAGTACGAATCCTACAGAAGGAACTGTGTTTCCCTGTGTCTCCGTGTCCTTCACAGCTGATCTCCCTCTAGAATCTCTTATCTCCAAATGTCATTCTGCTTTGCCCAGGAGGAAGAAGACGAGGAAGAGTGTTTAGAGCACTCTTCTCTGACGTAAGTGGGCAACAGGGGGAGGACTACAGTGGCAAGGGAGTCACAGAATAAGGGAGAACTTAGCAGCCAGAGACCCTCTCTGCTGCAGATCAGAGATCCCTGAAACTCTCCTCCTGGCAATGCTGCCCGATGTCCCATCAGAATGTCCTGGAGTGACCTTTTTGTTTCTCTGTTCTCCTGGCTTTCTCACAGTTTCCCCAGTGTCCTATTCCATGGGCCTCTGGGCTGTGCTCTGGCTGCCTCTGCTCCCACTCAGCAAGAATCACCAAATCCCTACTGCATGCACAGTACCACCAGTCAGCTAGGAAAAGTCAGGATAAAGGGAGCGGTGGCTTTCTGTCAAGCTATACATTATGTTGCTGGAGTGGCAACATGCACACACACCACACACACACACACACACATGCACAAGCAGTTGTGCATATATAGCATCCTAAGGGACACCATCGCTGAGGTGGGAAAATACACCCACAGCCTCCATGAGAAAGACCCAGACACTCCAGACAGTGAAAAATCCAGTACCTCATTTGGCTTCCTTTGTCCTGGACATGGAGATCTTTCAGGGTACACTAGAAAAACGTGAATCCATCCCACAGCCACCCATCTGAGTATGTGGTCCATGCTTTCCGCAGCTCTAAAAAGCAGAGCACATGGTGGAAGCTGAATGGTTTACTGTCTACCCTAGTGCAGCTCTGTGGCTGTTGGACAGGGTTGGGGCTAGACCCAGGTTTGTAGGTTCCACTGAGGTTGAAAGAAGGGAGCATGAGGTAGACCTTGTGCTCAAGGATCTGGTATCTGAAATGTCTGTGGCATATATGTTTCTGATATGTCTAATAAATCTGGGTGTTTTGGGGCGTTATAGAAGTTGAAAGACTGGAGCAAGGAGCTTATGGAGTTTCAAGATGAGGCCATGTTGGGGACGACCTCAGAAGGAAGCTTGCGCAAGAAGCCTGTCATCCAGGTCACCAAATCCTATGGGAGAAATAAAAAGCTTTGGTGGGAAAAGAAGTGCTGACTATGGTCCTACTGAGGACACTAATGTCTGAGACATTGTTAGATGTGTCTACTAATTTCTTTAGACATCATTAGCCCCATTGAATAAAAGATTGGCTTATCTTTCATGACCTCTGAACTCATCCTCCACTCACAAGCCATATTCCTGGGACCAGGGACAGGTCAAGTTAGAGGGTAGTGACAATCCAGAAGAGGGAAGGGAAGAACTGGTCTAGTACCTGGTCTTCAATATTCTCATTGTCCTGAAGGAAATCCTCAAAGAGCACAGGGCAATCCTAGGGGTGGTTCTGGTTGTAGATGTTGGTGTGTGTGCACTTACCTGGAGTTGTGTATTTTGATCATGCCATTAGTGGACAAGATAAA